GTGAATTGTCACATTCATGAGGACTACCTTAGGGGATTTCTACCCATAACAAATTCCTAACAGAAATTTACTACCTTATATAGTGTAGTAAGTTTTATATTTTAAAATGTATGACATAATTAGAAATAGACACAGCTTTTAAGACTAGGGATAAGCTAGAAAATACCTCCATCAGATCACCTGTAGGAAAGCCTATAGAGCATTTCCTTGATCAGTGATTGATGGGGAATGCCCAGGACACTGAGAGCAGTGCCACCCCTGGGCTTCTAGTCCTGAGGTGTAGAAGAAAGCAGGCTAAGTAAGTCATAGGGAACAAGTCACTAAGCCACACTGTTCCAAGACCACTCTTCCAGTTCCTTATTCCTGGTTTCTGACTTGAGTCCCTGTCCTGACTTCTCTTCATGATGACCTGTGAGTCTTAGGCTGAAATAACCCTTTCGTCCCAAGTTATTTTTACTCATGGAGTTTCATTCCAAAAATAGAAAGCAGACTAAAATGATGGCTGTTGCAAATGAATGACTGTGCAGTGTGTGTGTGTGTGTGTGTGTGTGTGTGTGTGTGTGTGTGTGTGTAAGCTAGGATTTTTTTTTTATTTCTACACAATAGCCAGAATGGCATTATCTTAGTTAGGGTTTTATTGCTGTGAAGAGACACCATGACCCTGGCAGCTCTTAAAAAGCAAAACATTTAACTAGGGCTGGCTTACAGTGCCAGAGGTTTAGTTCATTATCATCATGTTGGGAAGCATGGCAGACATGCTGCAGGAAAGATAGCTGAGAGTTCTCCATCTTGATCTCCAGGCAGCCTTGAAAAGGAACTGACTGTACTGGTTTGAGTTTCTGAGACCTCAAAGTCTACTCCCTAGTAACACACCTACTCCAACAAGGCCACATCTCCTAATGGTGTCACTCCCTATGGGCCAATAGTTGTCATTTAATTCAAACCACCACAGCCATCTACTATTGTTGACTAGTGTCCATGACCCATTGTTAAAACATTTAGTGTTGCAATGTAAATCATTGTAAAGTGACCTTACTCCAAATTTGTAGGAGATAAAGTCCAGATATTGTATGTCTAAGACAGGAAACAGATATAAATTGTATTATCAAGCTTTTTAACAGAAATATAAATAAGTGGTAGCATAAAGAGATTTCAGGTCCTGTGACCATCTAGACATCCTTACAACCCGTGCCTACACATACCTGATTATTTCTGTACTGTTTTATGGCTATGGCCATAAGCAACCTCTGATTTTCCATGCTGAAAATATGCAGTGTTTTCTATTAGAGTTTTGGCCATCCTGGGGCAATGACTGTGAGCTGTCCTCAAGGCTGAAAGAAGTGTAAGCATGCCTTTGCCTCATTCCGCCTGCTTTTTATCACTTGCCATGCAGCAAGGCATTGCTGGAAAAGTTTGTGCTGAGTTTTGACTCAACCAAACCAACAGGGGGCACTCCTTCCCATACCCAATTTAAGCACACTGTAACTTCTTCCCCATGATGCAACACCTCTCTATTGTCGAGTCTCTGACTCTGTCTCTGCCTCTCTCTCTCTCTCTCTCTCTCTCTCTCTC